TTCGCACGGCGTCCACCCGTCCATTTCAGAACATCTCTCGCGCGGGTCGTGCCAAGAGGAGGTCCACCTGCGGCGTCAGGGGGGGTGATCACGCGGCGGCATCCAAAATCATTCGGCACACCCTGCACGCGGATCGTGCCTCGCAAAGAGTCCAGCGCACCCGCGCACGCGTGCCCCGCAGCAGCCATCTTTACGAATTGCCCCGCGGCGCGGAGTGTATGAAGAGAGACCCGCGCCCTGAGCGAAGACAGTTCGGCCTCCCGCAGGGGCCCTCCCGGGGCGCATCTTGGAGTCTTCTCGGGACGTCTTCGTGGCCTCTTGAGCCGTCTTATTCGGGCGTCTGCGGCCCTATCAGGCCGCTCTTGTCGCTTCTATCATCTGGAGCTGTTTGGGCGGCGGGGAAAAAGGCCCAAAAGGCCCAGGAGGCCCCGCACGGGGTCAAAAATGAGGCGGGCCAAGGGGGGGCATCCGGGAGGATGTCTGGGCTTGGGCCCCAGGACCCCGTCCTCCTCCTGTAGCCCCTTCTCCTTGTCCTCCTCCTCGTCGTCCTCCTCCTGCTCCTCCTGCTCCCCTTCCTCCTGTTCCTCCTCCTCCTGCTCCTTTTCCTTCCCCTCTTCCCCTCCTCCTCCTCGTCCTCCTCTTCTTCCTCCTCCTCCTCCTCCTCCTCTTCCTCCTCCTGTCTCAGTATGTGCCCTCGCTAGCCGACGCGTTCCAGACGAGTCTCGCCGGAACGCGTTCGGCACAAGCACTGGTGCTTCTCTCCTTCTCCCCCATCCTCCCCCTCATGCTCGTTTTCCGCAGATCCCTGCTGCCGCGCGCTCCTGGCCGTCGTCTTCCTAGTGCGAGCTTGTGCACAGAAGCACCTGGTCCTGCTGCCGCCCCTCCTCTGCTGGTCCTTCCTGGGAGGCCTTGCGAGCGCAAACTTGGGGTTTTGCTTCCGTGACCTCGCGCTGGGGCTCCTCCTGGAGCCCTCTTGGGGATCTCTTGTGCTGGCCTGGGGCCTGTTGGAGCCCCCTGAGGGAATGGTCATGAAGCTCCCTCCAAGGGTCTCCAAGATGTCTGAGCCCATGGCGGCGGGATCCGAGGCCCAAGACGCGGAAATCCTGAAAAAAAACATCGGGTAAATGAGGGCCGGCACCCGCTCCTCCAGCCATCTTGGAACCCTCTTGAGCTGCACTGGGGCCTGCTGGAGGCCTCTGGGAAATAGACCTGGGGCTATGTCCGTGGGCCTTCAAGATGTCTGGGCCCACCGCTGCGACCTCGGAGGCCCGAGGCACCGAAACCCTCCAAAAACACAAGAAAAATGGGAGCCTGCAGTCGTTCCTGGAGCCGTCTTGGAGCCCTCTGGGGCTGGCTTGGGGCCTGTTGGAACCCGCTGGGGAATGATCAGAAAGCTCTCTCCGAGGTTCTGAAAGATGTCTGAGCCCATGGCGGCGGGCTCCCAGGCCCAGGGCGCGGAAACCGTGGAACAACATAGGGTAAATGAGAGCCGGCACCCACTCCTGCAGCCGTCTTGGGACCCTCTTGGGCTAGCCTGGAGCCTGCTGGAGGCCTCTGGGAAATAGACCTGGGACTATGTCCGCGGGCCTTCAAGATGTCCGGGCCTACCACTGCCTCGGAGGCCGGAGGCACCCAAACCATGCAGAAACACAGGGAAAATGAGAGTCGGCAGTCGTTCTTGGAGCCGTCTTGGAGCCCTCTCGGGCCGCCCTGGAGCCTGTTGGAGCCCTCTGCGGAATGGTCTTGGGGCCCGCGCCGAGGATCTGGAAAATGTCTGGGGCCATCGCGGCGGCCTCCGAGGCCCAGGACGCGGAAACCCTATAAAAAACACAGAAAGAAAATCCTCCTCGGTACTCCCGTGGACTGTCGAGGCAGCTGCTTTCGGGCCCCGGGCCTGCCCCCCCGTGATATATATATATATATATATATATATATATATATATATATATATATATATATATTATATATATTATATATATTATATATATATATATATATATATGTCGGCGCCCGGTGCGGAGCGAACCCCCCCCCCGTAATCTCTCCTGGGGGGTTCGAGCTGGCGCCATTCCCGGTGCGAGCCTGCACGAACCCCCCCGGTAAACACGACCTCCTCTGGTAGGCTGCACGAACCCCCCCGGTAAAGACGCAACCCCTCCGTAAGCGGCGCGTTCCCGGCACGCGCGAACCCAAGCCCCGACGCGCGTATCTTACCAGGACGAGCAGGGGGAGGAACTGGCATTCCTGTTGTTCGCACTGCTGGGCTCGTGGCCACAATACGAGAGGCTGCGGCGCAACTCGCATGCTTGTGGCCCCAATCTGCATTACAAAGGACGAGGAGGAGGACGAGGACGAGGAGGAGGAGGAGAAGGGGGACGAGGACGAGGAGGAGGAGGAGGAGGAAGAGGAGGAGGAGCAGGAGGAAGAGAAGGAAGAGAAGGAGGAGGAGGAAGAAGAGGAGGAAGGCGAAACAAAGGCGAGCACACGCCACACTTCGACAGGGAGCCACCCTTCCCAACCGCCCGCCTGCCCCCCCCCGAACCCACCCCCCCCTCCCACCCCCCCACTCCCACAGGGGGGGGGCAGGTAGACACAGCGCGGCCTGCACGACCCCCCCCGGTAAAGCGACAGGGGAAGACCCAATGCGGCCTGCACGAACCCCCCGGTAAAGCGGCAAGGGGGGGTGTTCGAAGGCGCTGGCGGCACCCGGTGCGGGCTGCACGAAACCCCCCGGTAGTGCACGAACCCCCCCGGTAGTGCTGGGGGGGGTTCGTGCCACGGCGCACCGCCGACATATATATATATATATATATATATATACAGTTCCTCCGTCAAGTTCGGCCGAGTTTCCACCAGCGGCACCGTCCTCGTTTTACTTGCGTTGGCTTTCGCCGAAGGCAAGAGGTTCACCATTCGAGTCCTCATATTGGATCGATATACATCTCAATGGCGCACGACGGATCGGACCAAAACTGTAATCCAAAAGTCAGATCGGCCAGGAATCGAAGCTCCTAAGTTGGCCAGGCCTCTCAGGGGCCACTGGCGGAAGCCCATAGATGGCCTGACCAAGCTTGGTGCTGGCATATCACTGACCACTCCCGCGAACTTGGCGCGACGCCCCAGGACTTCCGAACCCGCCGGCCTTGAAGGCGACATGATTTCATGTTTCTCCGCAAGCGCAAGGCGCGCTGCAGCATCAGTAGTATGGCTGATGGGGCAACGTCGAGCCTCCCCTCCGACGAAGTGCCACACAGCATCTACGGCAAGGAAAATGTCACCCACCCCTTTGGGTGACTAGCGTGTGAAGTCACTTCCTCCCAAAATTCCATCGGCAGAGGACGGGCAACTCGCCTCATGCAATGCCCAGCTAAATAACCTCGCCCGTTTGACAAGTGGCCCCGGTTGACAGATTTGCTACTTGCAACAAGGAGGGTTCTAGCCTCCCCGAGTCTGGCAACAAGGAGGGTTCCAGTTTCCCCGAGTCTGGCAACAAGGATGGTTCCAGTCTCCGCGAGTGTCCATCTGACAAGTGACACAAATTGTCCAATGGGTCATCGGTGATAGCATTGACAGGACATATCTGAGCCCAGAAAGGGGAGATCTCGGGCGAAATTGGTTGAACCACCTCAGGTGTGGGCTTCCCCGAAAACACAATCCCGGCGATATCCCAGGCGAAAAGGACCGGGAACACATGAGATGAGAAGGTAAATACATGAACCTAGAGTTGCAAAGAGATCTCAAGCGAAACGATCAATCCACGGCAGCTACAAACCCAGAACCTCACTTTCCCCTTCGGGGGTGGGGTCCTCGCTGCTGCTGGATAATATTTGCCACCTCGCCCAATCCACCGACCGCTAACCCGAGTCACTGCCACCCCCCACAATTCCAACCAAAAACCAATTGAAATACCCCCAGGCGGCTCCCCCATTGGAGCTCGGAAATGCGATGCGATCCGTCAGAACCACGATCATCATATTCTCATGGTTCTGTAGATCCGCCACCGTGCCTCTGGGCACGGAGTGGGCGTGCCCTCAGGTCCTTACCATCATCCTCTCAACCTCAGTCCTCATCCCCAAGGAGTCGTTCAGAGACCCAGACCCCACATCGCGAAATCTTCTCCTGGGGCTTCTAGCGATTTCTCGCGTGACTGTTTCGGAACAACGGGGGCCCCACAACAGGCCAACAGGGCCCAAAGAGGCCCACGATAGCCCCAGAACGCCCCGAGACGCCCAACAATCGCTCCAAGACGCCCTGCATGGCCTCATGATGGTCCGAAAGGCCTCCAAGATGCCCCAAGAGGCCTCGAAGATGCCTCCGAAGAGGACCCTGAGAGGCAAAAATCATTGGCTTGCCTGCGTTGTTTGAAAAATGTTGGCGTTCTCGCCTGTTTCCCTTTCCGACGCTCCCAGACGGCCCGATGCCCCCACTACCACCCCAGGACTGCCCAAGAGGCCTCCAAGAGGGCCCCAAGAGCCCCAAGTGGCACCCAAGAGGCCTCAAGAGGCTCCAAGAGGCCCCCAAGGGGCCCAACAGCGACCCCAAGAGGCCCCAAACCTGCCCCGAAGAGGCACCAAAACTGCGTCCAAGAGGCCGCAAAACTGCCCCTCAGAGCCCTCAAGAATGGTCCACCATGAAATCCCAACGAACATCCAATAGGCTTCATACCTAAAACCTAGGCACAGTGGCGGGAATACCATTCGATAGAGAGGAGTCCAAGGTGCAACAGAGAATCATGAGTCCAGGGGGCGAGGCTCAGGCCTGGATGTCTCACCTGACCCCTTCCTGCCGTACTCGGAAAGGCACCCCGACAACAAACGAATCAAACATACGTCGCTCAATTAGGGTCGGCGGTAGAGGCGGCAGCCTTTAGATAAATGGGGCCCCGGGGTGGGTAGCTGGTGAAACGGCCAGAGGCAACCGACTTACAACCGCCCGTCCACTGACCTTATATAGGTCGGTCATGAAATATTCAAAAATAGTCAAAAATAGTTGTAGAATCGTTCGCACATATTTTTTACTATTTTTGAACATTCGTCCTGTGCAGGGACATGCCCGACTTGATACTGGCCATGGGCGCCCTCACCTGCTCAGCGACATGCGTTTGCAGCGCCGCGAGCTCTTGCCGCTCTGATGCTGGGCTTGGCACCGCCGCGCCACGAGAACATCGCGTCGGGGAGGCACTGCAAGAGCACGACCGCCGTGCCGAAGGTGAGAAACAGGACGACGTAGCCGTAGACACCGAGCACTTGGATCACGGTCCTCCACGTCAGCCACAGGAGGAAGTGGCCGAGCACTGCGGTCAACGTGCTCAAGACGGTGGCGCGGCGGTGGGATATGCCAGGCTTACAGAAAAAAAACGAAGCACCCAGTGACCACAATCACCAGCAGTGGGTTGAATATGAACATCAAGGACATCTGGTTGAGCACCAAATGCCAGGCCAAGAAGTACTGGTCAGTCCTGACGAGCCACACGCACCTGCCGGCCAAATCCCACAAGTAGGGCGGCGCGAGGCCGACCACAATGTTGGCGTACGGTATGTGGGCTCTCCTGATTGTGTGGGGCTCCAGACTCTGTCGGACGAAGCGTTCGTAAGTGCTCACGTTGTCGAACCACTCGATCACGGCGGTGCGGATCAGGTCCCGGTCGCACGCCATGACCTCCTTCGTCTCGGGGTGCAAATGGTTGTGCTCGCAGCAGAAGCACTTCGCCTTGTCCAGCGAAAAGGTTTTTAGCTGAATGTCCTGCTCCGCGAAAGCTCTGACGTGCCTCGCAAACATGGGGGTGAAGGAGAACGAGACGAAGAGCGTAATCACCGAGTAGGACGCCACGCGCAGCACGAGCTCGGCAGGCGACAGGTCAAGGGGCGCCCCTGGGACGTCGTCGGCGCCGACCAGGAGCGAGCGGGTCACCAACAGGAAGAGGGCCCCGGTGACAAAGCAGAAGGCGGTCATGCCTCCGTACATGGAGGGCAGCACCCTGATGGCGTTGCCAGAAGCCTCCTCCTTGTCCACCTGCAGCCGCAAGTAGGCCGCGAACTCGAAGACGCACCAGAGCCGCTGGAAGTAGGTGACGTCCCAGAGAACCATCACGGTCTTCGACACCTTCAGGTAGTAGCCGAGGCTCAGGATGCCCGTCCGCTTCGCCTCTTCGTCGTCCTGATAGGAGGCCACATGCGAAGCCTACCCCACCTCCCCCCGTATAATTTTTTTGTGTGTGTGTGTATGTGTGTGTGTGTGTGTGTGTGTGTGTGTGTGTGTGTGTGTGTGTGTGTGTGTGTGTGTGTGAGTGTGTGTGTGTGTGGGGGGGGGGGATAGGGTTCGCATGTGGCCACCGACCTGAGGGATGCACGCCCTGTCCAGGAACACGCGCTGCCGACTCGGCCAGACGAAAAGCACCGCCAAGGTCGTGCACAGCCCGGTAACCATGCACGGGACGCCAGCGCGATAGCCGTTGTCCACCAGCTGCGCCGGCATCATCAGGGCCGTAACCACGGACACAGCAACGCCCGCCAGGAAGGCCTGCCACGCGCTGTAGTGCACCAGCAGCGTACACACGTTCATGAACTGCGACGCGTGACGGCTGTACGACCAGAAGCAGTCGATCCACTCGACCTCCCTGGCGTAGCGGTACCCGTCGCCGTTCCCGCGGAAGACGCTGCCTAAAAACTTCAGCGCAACGTGCGCGGGGATGGCGCGGATCGGCGCGCAGGTCAGCGACTCCATCGAGAGCGACTCGGACGAAAGGGACTTGCGGTGGACCGCCGCCGGGCCCGGGCCCGTGTCGGACGACGCGGACTGCCAGACCGGCGTCCGGCCGGGGACCTTCGCAGACATAGACATATATAATAAAACTCTAACTCTAAATATGATTACAAGAACCAAAAAAAGTGTGTACATCTATGTGTGTGTGTTTGCGTGTGTGCGTGTGGGCATGTGGGCGTGCGCGTGTCTGCGTGCGTGCGTTCGTGCGTGCGTGCAAGTGTGTCTGTGCGTGTGCGTGTGCGTGTGCGTGTGCGTGTGCGTGTGAGTGCGCATGTGCGCGTGCGTGTGATTGCATGTGTGCGCGTTTCTGTGTGTGAGCGTGTCTGTGTGCGTTTGTGTGTGTGTGCGTGTGTGTGTGCGTGTGTGTGTGTGTGAATGTCTGTGTGTGTCTGTGTGTGTGTCTGTGCGTGTGTGGGTGTGTGTCTGTGTGTGTTTCTATATGTGTCTGTGTCTGTGCGTGTCTGTGTATGTGTGTCTGTGTATGTGTGTCTGTGTATGTGTGTGTGTGTGTGTCTGTGTGTGTCTGTGTCTGCCTGTGTGTCTGCGTGTGTGTCTGTGTGTGTGTCTATGTCCGTGTGTCTGTGTGCCTGTGTGTGCACGTGTGTGTGTGTGTGTGTGCGTCTGTGTGTCTGTGTATGCGCATCTGTGTGTGCGCTTGTCTGTGTGTCTGTGTGTGTATGTCTTTGTGTCTATGCGTGCCTGGTGTGTGTTTCTGTGTGTGCGTGTCTTTGTGTGCCTATGTGTGTGTGTCTGTGTGTGTGTGCCTGTCGGCGTGTGTGCGTATATTCGTGTGTCTGTGTGTGCCTGTGAGCGTGTCTCTGGGTGTGTCTGTGTTTCTGTGTGTGTGTGTGTCTGTGTATGTGTGTCTGCGTGTGCCTGAGTGCGTCCGTGTGTAACCGTGTGTGCTTGCGTGTGTGTGTGTGTGTGTGAGTGTGTGTGTCTGTGCGTGTGTCTGTGTGTGTTTGTGTGTGTGCCTGTATGTGTGCCTGCGCGTGTGTCTGTGTGCGTACGTGCGTGTGTGTGTGTGCGTGGGTCTATCTCTGTGTGTCTGTGCGTGCCTGTGTGTCTCTGCGTGTACATATGTGTGCGCGTGTGTGTGTGTGTGTGTGTCTGCGTGTGTCTGTGTGTCTGCGTGTGTCTGTCTGTGTCTGTGTGTATGCGTGTGAGTGCGTATGTGAGTGTTTGTGTGTGTGTGTCTGTGTGTGTGTGTCTGTGTGTCTGTGTGTGTGTCCCTGTGTACGTGCGTGTGTGTGTGTGTGTGTTTATTTCTGTGTGAGCGTGTCTATGTGCGTGTGTGTGTGTGTGTGTGTCCGTGTTTGGGCGTCAGTGTTTCTGTCTGTGTGTGTGTGTCTGTGCGTGTCTGTGATTGCGTCTTTGTGTGTCTGCATGCGTTTGCGTCTAAGAGTGTCTGTGTGCATGTCTGTGTGTATGTGTCTGTGTGTCGGTATGGCCTTGTGTCTGCGTGTGCGCGCGTGTCTGTTCATGCGTGTGTGTGTCTCTGTGTGTGTGTGTCTGTGTGTGTTTGTGTGTGCGTGTGCGTGGGTGTCTCTCCCGTGCATTGCGGCCTTAATGTGCATACAGCGTGTCCCCTGTTGCCCTTCCGCCAGCGCAGTCGACCTCTGCCCAGCCGCCGACACAAAAAAAGTGTGTGAGTGTCTGTGTGTGTCTGTGTGTGTGTGTCTCTGTCTGTGTGTGTGCCTGTGCGTCTCTGTGTGAGTCTGCGTGTGCGCCTGTGGGCGTGCCTGTGTGTGTGTGCCTGTGTGGGTGTGTGTCTGTATGTGTCTGTGTGTGCCGCAGGATTGGAGAGCCTCTTGGAGAGTGTCGTGGTCAACGCCGTCAGCACGCCGCTTCCGTGAGAGAGAGGTCTTTATATATATGTATATATGTATATATATATATATGCATACGCATGTGTGGTAAATAAATATAGAGATAAGCGCATACATACACACATACATACAAGCAAACATGCATGCATCTCTGCAAGCCCGCATCCATACATACATACATGCATTCATGCATGCATGCGTACGTACATACATACATCTATACACATAGCCCCATACATACATACATACAGACATCCATCCATCCATCCATACATACATACATACGTATGTGCATACATACATAGATACATAGATACATACATACATACAGACAGACAGACATGCATGCATTATTGCATGCATGTGTGCATACATACCTACATGCATCGCCTGTGGCGATAACGCTGTGTCCTTGGAGAGGATGGAGGGTGTCGGCGAGACCACGGCGTCCGCGGAGGGCACCGGCGACAACACGTTATCCTTGCTCGGGGATGCGCGACGCCCGATCGTGGAGGTCGCAATCGCAGCCGGCGCACGGGGCAACTCATCAGGGACAGGCGGCAGGTTGTGGTCAGCACGCCGAGGCGACGAGCAGGGGGGCATGAGATTACGCGACGGCGCGATCCCAAAGCCTCGCCGAGTGAGCCGCCACCAGGGCGCGAGCCCAAGGATTCGCCTTGTGCACTGTGGTCTTGAACCGACGACATTGGGGCCGTCGACGCCTTAACCAAACTGGCTACTTGAGCCAGTGCCAATACGCCAAATTTCCCGAAAATCATCATGAATACGGTTGCTTGACTCAAGCAGTCCGAAAAATAGCCTTTCAGCATTAGAACGCCATCCTTTTATGTTAAGATTCTGCTTGGATCAAACCTCCTGAAATCCAAAATCATAATGTGGAGATTGGCCGTACAGGCGCGGGCTGAACGGGCACCCTCCAGGTAAAGCGTGCCTCCTACAACTGCTGGAAGGGCCCACATGGATATTAGGCAAAAGGACATGTAATGCCTACGAGTTGTTTAAAAATATTGGGGAGACAATTTAAAACATGGTTTTCCCCAGCGCTGCAGTGCGCCTATACTATAATATAAAAAAGGGGGCGGGGCAAACTGGATCGCTGGAGGCGCCCCCGCGACCGCCCTGGCGCCCTGCGTGCAGGGGCAGATTCCTGCGCACCCCCTCTTAGCGTCAGGCCACGCTTGCCACGCCGTGCGACCCCAGCGTGGATAGAGACTGCGCTCGGGGACCACTCCCTGCGCACCGCGCGCCCTGTCTGGGTTGCGAACCGGCAGTGCATACGCAAATGCGGCACGCCACTGATAGATTTTATACAACGGGGGCAATGTTCAACCCCAGAACCCAACGGCGAAAACCCAATGTAAATATCCACTATCTGATCGGGAGACGGGAACATCCTCATGTGGATATACGACACGGAATGCAAAAATGCCAAGCGCCAGCGCGCGCGTGGCGGCATGCCGCTGATCAGTGCTTATACAACGGAAGCCATGTTGAACTCCAAGACCCAATGGCGAAAACCCAACGCAAAAATTCATTATTTGATCGGAAGACGGGAACATCCTCATGTGGATATGCGACACGGAATGCAAAAATGCCAAGCGCCAGCGCGCGCGCTGCGGCAACATGCCGCTGATAAATGTTATACAACGGGGGCGATGTTTATCTCCAAAACCCGATGGCGAAAACCCAAAATGTAAAAACTCATTCTCTGATCGGAAGACGGGAACATCCCCATGTGGATATACAACACTGAATGCAAACATGTCGCGCGCGCGGCGGTGGCATGCCGCTGATAGATATTACGCAACAGTACGACATTTCGCGCGTGCGCGGCGGCGGCATGCCCATGATGAACTCCAAAGCCCAATGGCGAAAACCCAATGTAAAGATTCATTCTCTGATCGGAAGACGGGAGCATCCCAATGTAGATATACGACACTGAATGCAGACATGCCACGCGCCAGCGCGCGCGCGGCGGCGGCATGCCGCTGGTAGATTTGACACAACGGGATCGATGCTGCACTCCAAAAACAATGGCGAAAATCCAATGTAAAAATTCATTCTCTGATCGGAAGACGGGAACATCACAATGTGGATATACAGCGCGGAATGCAAAAATGCCAATCGCCAGCGCGCGCGCGCGGCGGCGGCATGCCGCTGATAGATTTGATACAACAGGAGCGATGTTGAACTCCAAATCCCAATGGCAAGAACCCAATGTAAACATTCATTCTCTGATCGGAAGACGGGAACATCCATCGCAAAACCACCGAAACCCAAGAAACCCAGGGCCCCCTGGAGGCGAGCAGGGTGCTTCCTGGCATGGGCCCCCACTGTGCGGCCCAACCTCCGAGACGCCTCCGGTAGAGGGGCGGGCACGGCCCAACCTCCAAGACGCCGCCAAAGGCTGTGCCGTGCTGGGGCCCTCTGTCTGAGGACGTCTTTGAAGGGACCCTGGGACCTTTGTGGGCCCCGGAAACGGCAAGACCGTTTTTTTCACCGTTTCCAAAGAAATGTCCCTTGAAAATGGAAACGGCAAAAAAAAAAACGGCGACCGGAAACGCACGAAAACGGCTCCAGGATTGGAACCGGAGCCGGAAACGGTCAAAAAACGGCGACGGAACCGGTAAAAAACGGCGTCGGAACCAACAATAAAACGGCAAAACGGAAGCGGTAACAAAAACGGCCCGGTCGTTTCCAGGGCTCACTAAGCCTGGGACGCACACACAAACAAAGAAATACGATCTTGGTGCTCGAGCTTCTTCCTGAATCCTCGGAGCTTATCTTGTTGCCTGCCGCTCGAGCGGGCGCCTTCTGCCAACCGCACGGAGCATCCGGACCTGCGATGCCCTCATGATCCATACAAGGCCCCCATGGGAGTCCCAGGGATCCCCAGGAAATTCGGAAGAATTCCGAAAGCTTTCTGAGGATCTCTCGTCAATGCTGATGGTTCTGGGGGGTTCCAGAGGGTTCGTAAGGCTTCCCGGAGATTATTGTAAAAGGACTCCTCAAGATCTCCTCGTCGTCGCCGTCGCCACCGCAATTGTCGTTCTCGTCGCCATCCTCTTCGTCGTCATCGTCGCCGTCGCCGTCGTCATCGTCGTCGTCGCCTGTGTCGCAAAATCTTTCAACGTCGTCAAAATCGCCGTCGTCGTCGACGAAGTCGTGGGCGTCGCCGCGGCCGTTGCCACAATCGTCCTCGCCGTCGTCGCGTCGACATCGTCGTCGTCGTCGTCGCTGTGGCCGTCGCCGTCATCGTCGTCGTCGTCGCCGTCGTCGTCAAACACATCGACATCTTCGCCGTCGTCGTCGTCATCGTCACCCTCGTCGTCGCGGTCACCGCCGCAATCGTCGTTGTCGTCTTCGTCGTCGTCGTCGTCGAAGGCGTTGTCGTGGTCGTCGTCAGAGGCGTCTTCGAACTCGCCTTGGTCGTCGTCATCTTCGCCGTCGCTGTCGTCGTGATCGTCGTCGTCACCGTCGCCGTCGTCAGACGACGTCGAAGTCGTCGTGAATATCGTCGTCGTCGCCGCCGACGAAGTCGTCGTCGTCGTCGATGTCGCCGTCGTCCTCACCGTCGTCGCAATCAGCAGAGACATCGTTCTTGTCGGCGTCGTCGTCGTCAAAAACGCCGTCATCGTCATCTTCGTCGCCGTCGTCGTCACCCTCGTCGTCGTCGCAGCCGTCAAAGTCGTCGCCGTCGTCGTAGTCCAAAAATTCGATGTCGTCGTCCCCGTCTAGGCCAAAACCGTCGTCGTCAAAATCGTCGCCGTTATTGATTTTGTCATTTTCGTCGTCATCGCTGTCGTCGCCGTCGTCGTCATCGTCAAAGACGTCGTCATCGCCGTCGTCGTCGTCGACGTCGCCGTCGTCGTCGTCTTCGTTGTCGTCGAAGTCGTCGTCGTCGTCGCGGTCGGCGTCTTCAAAAACATTGTCATCTTCGACGACGCCTTCGTCGTCGTCGTCGCCCCTTTCGTCGTCGTCGCCGCCGCCGCGGCCGTCATCGTCTTCGTGTCGACGTCCTCAAAAGTGTCGTCGTCGTCGACGTCGACGTCGTCGTCGTCGTCGTCGTCACCCCCGTCCTCGTCGTCGTCGCCGCCGCCGCAGCCGCAATCGTCGCCGTCGTCGTCGTCGTCGCCGTCGCAATCGCCACCATCGTGGTCGTCGTCGTCGTCGTCGCCGTGGCCGTCGTCGCTGTCAAAGACGTCGCCATCGCCGTCGTGGTCGAAAACGTGTCGTCGTCGTCGCCGCCGCCGCCGCCGCCGTCGAGGTCGTCGTCAACGCGGTCGCCAACAGCGCCACCGTGCGCCTCGCCGTCGGGGCCGACGACGATCATCGAGTTGCGGAAGCCCGCGGAGCGCCGCGCCCGCCTGGTCGGGGGGCCGAGGGCCGGCGACGACGACGACGACGACGACGACGACGACGACGACGGCGACGACGACGGCGACGACGACGACGACGACGACGACGACGACGGCGACGACGGCGACGACGACGACGACGACGACGACGACGACGACGACGACGACGGCGACGACGGCGACGACGACGACGACGACGATGACGTCTTTGACCACGACGTCTTTGACGACGTCTTTGACGACGACGGCGACAGCGAAAACGACGACGCCCGCCCTGGCAGAAGGCTCGGAAGTCCTGCGGCCCTCTGAGGCTCTGAGGGGTCTTCTCTGTGGAGGGGCCCAAGGACACACAAGAGAAGTACACACAGATCATAGGGTTACCCGGTCATTGTTCCATATGTTCAAGATGTTCGTCCCCCCCCCACTGCAAATTGGTTCCCATGTTTTCTGGGGAATCGACGATTGCCTGTGTCTGTGTGTTTTTGTCTCCCTCCTGCTTCCAATCCGAGGAAGGCAAGACCGCCCAACAAGAGCCTCCAGAGATCGCTGCGACGGCCCAGAGGGGCCCTGTCCCGAAGCGTTCAGAAGCGGCCCGATCGGCCTCCAAGCCCCCGTCCGTCAATCCCCAGGTGCCCCGAAGCGGGGCCAGCTCTCAACTCGCAGCCCTGTAGCGTACATACAGCGACGCCACGTCGGCCTGGGACTCGAGGTTCGGCGAGATTTCAGAATACGCAGCCGAAGCAATCTTTCTACGCCACCTCTCTTCCTCCTCCTCCTCCTCCTCCTCCTCCTTCTCCTCCTCCTCCTCCTCCTCCTCCTCCTCCTCCTCCTCCTCCTCCTCCTCCTCCTCCTCCTCCTCCTCCTCCTCCTCCTCATTCTCTACAGCGAAGCCAGGATGAGGTCAAGAATCTCTGCGATGCGGCAGCTCTGGAGGACGTCTCTCTCAGGCGCCGCGGCCCTCACGTCCTGAGGATCGCCGACAAACAAGAGCCCAGACGGCGGAGGAGGCGGAGGATGAGCAGGAGTCCCCCCTTTTTACTCGACGAAGGTAAGGAACCGAACTCTATACACCGATGCCTTTTTCTGGTCCCGCACTGAGACTCGCACAAGAAAACGGATTCTGGTGTATACGGCATCCTGGTGTATACACTTGTTGTTGCTTCCACGGAAACGGGAAAAAGTATACACCACACCACCCCGACGTCGTCTCCGACCCTCGAGAAATTCTGGGATTCAAAAACAGCCCACCACTGATAATGTATACGTTCCAGTTTCAGAGAAGGGGTGCACGGTACAGCAAACCGTCGCAAGATCCCATCAGGTCCATATTTTCTCTCGGCGGCGCGTCTGGGGCACGCTCGACAGCGCT